CAAACCATTATTGTTGTTGGAGCGGAAACACCGAAACCCTCTTTTAAGAGAAGCACTGTAGCTTGACTTGAACCTTGGCTACAAGCGGATCATTGAGCATACTTGCTCACATGTAGAGGCTACAAATCCCCCCTTATTTCTGATATTCTCAGCACTAAAGAAAATGTGGAATCTATACAAGGATCACACAAGAGACTCTAGACCACAAACTATCTCTACTTTCTTCAAAAGAGTGAGAAGACAAGGAACTATCAAATTGTGTAAATTGAGCGGAACGTATGCGGGCATTGAAGTCTCCAACAAGAAAAACTTCACCTTTGTCTTGATATTTGAGAACATCTCCAATGAGCCAATGGAATGGTTGACTTCGATTGCAAGTGCTTGTGGAGTAGATCTGCATGGATAATGGTGCAAAGTAACAAACTGCCAAATAACTGTAAGATCCTCCAATCAATCCAAGACGAAACCAATGATATTGTTTCCCAATATCTTGGCTTTCCAAATGTATCATAGGAAGAAGTTCAGATCTGATGAAAGTAGCAATGCCTCCAAAGCCTCTTCCTGCTCGTTGATTTCTATGGTTCCAAGTAGATGCCACCAGAGTAAACCCTTGTATCTCTCCAATAACATTACTTTCATGCTCCCAAGTCTCAACAATGTTGAGAATGTCCGCCATCTTCCAAATCAGATGTGCACTCACATACTTAGTTGTAGATAGGCCTCTTATGTTCCACATCAACACCCTCAATCTCTTGGATTGCTAGGTTGATGATTGTCTCCTCCTCTTGGTGATAATAGCTTGACTATCACGTAGATAAGCTACAAAACCTGCATCTTGAGCTTCTTTGACTTTTGCAAGCTCCTTCCTCCTTGCTTCAACTTGAAGAGGTGTAAGATCTGGATCTAACCAAATCCTTTGTCCCTTGAGAATGGCCTTGTTAGCTAAAGCCATATCACGTTGAGCTTGATCCACAAACTTAACAATAATGACACGAGGTTGTGCGCCTTTGTTGCCAATACGATAAGCATGAGCCAAATCCGGATTAGGAATATCAAGTGTTTCAGTCAAAAACTTGATGACCACACTCTTCACCTCTTCCTTCTCAGATTCAGGTAGACCCGAAATCCTCACATTCTTCATACGAGCAAATTGATTAGCCTTTTCAATCTCTTGCTCTTGACAGAAAGAGATATGAGCAGACTTGGTAGCTTCAGCATAGGACTTCATTTTCACCTCAAGAGTTTCAACCACTTCATGCAAAGCAGGAGTAGTAACAGTAGAAGCTTGAGAACCAACCTTGTCTTGAATGTCCTCAACAGATCCAGAGATTTGGAGCATGATCTTCTCAAAACTTTTGTGAGAAATCTTCAACTCCCTGATTTCATTCTTTGCCGCAGCCAAGGCAACATTTTTTGCCTTGAATTCTTGGCGTAGCACTTTCAATTCCTCCAAAACCGTTTGCACAAGATTGAGAAGTTTGTTTTCAGAATCCATCATGAGCCCAACTTTGCAAGATGTTACACAAGCTCAAAGTTTCGAAATGAAAACTTCTTGACAGCAGCTCCGTTGGTGCTGAAAATATGCAGGTATGTACGCTCGGCTGTCGTGAACAAGCCCACCAAATCTCAGCTCCTGTTGACACTCCAGCAAGAAGATATGGCCCCTCGCAAGATTCATGCTCAAACCCCTAAACTCAAAGTTTCGAAATGACAACTTCTTGACAGCAGCTCCGTTGGGGCTGAAAATTTGCAGGTATGTGCGGCCGGCCGTTGTGAACAAGCCCACCAAATCTCAGCTCCTGTTGACACTCCAGCAAGAAGATATGGCCCCTCGCAAGATTCATGCTCAAACCCCTAAACTCAAAGTTTTGAAATGACAACTTCTTGAAAGCAGCTCCGTTGGGGCTGAAAATTTGCAAGTATGTGCGCCCGGCCGTCTTGAACAAGCCCACCAAATTTCAGCTCCTGTTGACACTCCAGCAAGAAGATATGGCCCCTCGCAAGATTCATGCTCAAACCCCTAAACTCAAAGTTTCGAAATGACAACTTCTTGACAGCAGCATATATGTTGTATAGTAGACTCTTCTGCATACTCCTGGTTGACCCCTAGTCAAACAGGTTTGGGGTTATTGTATATGCCTTAACTAGTTGTCTTGAATACACGGAGTGTTCGGTCTTGACCCTTGCACATGTGAGTTTTTAGCCGGATTACTCTTGCCCAGGTAAATAAACACTAAGATCCACAAGAACCGAGAAATATTTTTAAAAACTGGAGCAACAAGTGACAAACACTCGTTCCGCAACTGGACTTGAAAGCTAGATAGTGCAGTCCAATTCGTCTAATTATCCAATTGGATGCTGACGTCTCAGAACCAATGAGATATACAAAAACGGACCTTTACATGTAGAGAAAAAGTTGATTTGTCTAGTTAGCCCTAATCTTAACACCTTACTGCAGAGCATGAGTGGAATGGCAACCAATGTCACATGTCAGACATCGGAATCCTCCATTTATCGTCAGATTTCTGTCACAATCTCCGTCAAAAATCTGTCAACGTCATAATGTCTATCCGCTAGTTTCAAAAAACCGTCACTTCATCTCGCTCAACAAACCGTCACTAAATCTTGCTCAACACACCGTCACTAAATCTTGTCTTAGGAAAGAATCAACGGAACCTATCACTGAAAAACTCTGTACTCCATACCAATTGTGAGCGGTAAAGCCGAAAAAACATTAAGCACAAAATATCAAGTCACAGCCGAAACAAGATAACATGTGGTTCACCCTCCAAAAGAGGGCTATGTCCACCAAGCAAACTCACTCACGCGCCCAAACGATACAAACCCATCCAAAATCGTAAAACTTTATTATTGGGAGGTTTAGCTCTGTAGTGGATTACAATGCATCATTGAAACATGCAAACAAAATAACTATGTATCAACTAGATTATTTTCATTAACTTAGATTATTTTCAAAACCCCCAAATTTAGGAGGTTTAGTAGACATATCATTTGATCAGAAATAGGCATTACTATCATGTGTGTGTGTATATATATATATATATATATATATATGTAGTAAAAGATAAATATAACTATTTTGTGTGTCATAATATGATCAAATTATAAAATTTAATATGTATGATTAAATATTTGTAATATTGAGGTCTTTTTATACATAAAAACAAACACGGTGAAAATGTTTTTCATATTTCACTTTATGTGTGTAGATAATTAAGCTTTTTAACTTCTTACATGTCCAATTGCTATAAAAATTATATGAGTTGTTTGATTTTGGTCTAATTACTATGATTGTATAATAATTGCATGTTATATTTAGATATGAACATCATCATTGAGTTGATGTATGTTGTATAAAAGTTAGAATTATAATGTCATTTACAATGTATGCGCAAATGCTCAGAATGCTTGAAAAGATTTATAAACGCATTAAATAAATTATGATCACAAGTATACATCGGATTTTGATCGTGTTATTTTTTGCTTTTAACAAACAATGACAACTCAAATCAAGCTAGCCAAGTTGAAAATTGATAGTTTTAAACTTCATTTTTATTTATTTCAGAACTAGGCAAATTTCAAAAAGATGACATCCAAAACACTACAAGGTTTGAACAATTTTAACATCAGAAATAAGAAAAGTTATCACAACACACAAATTTTATTTTTCCATTAAATCAAATTTTTTTATTGAACATTAAAGCCACAATTGATCCTATATCAACCCTAAATTTGACGTTGAACAATGAGTTGAGACTAACACAAAATATCATCTTAGAATGAAATAAACTTCTACGTTGATTTGTGTTTCATGTTGCTTAACTTATTTGGTTGAACAAGGTGAATAAAAGTGTGATGATTCTTCTAAAATTTTGATTTTTGTATGTTTGTAGATGAGTTAAAAAATTTAAGATGGCTTCAATGAACAAAATAAACAATCTTAATAACATGAACTCGAATGATAAGGATCTGGGATCGTGATTATTGCAATTATTTTCAAGTTTAAAATCAATTGTTGAAGTGAATTATTGATATGCCATAGATAAAATTATCATAATTTTAAAAAAAAGAAGAGTTAATTTAATCAAAAATAAAATGAATAGTGTTACATGAAAGCAAGTTACTACAAAGATAAAATTGAAAGCTAATGGATATACATAATATCATGAAGAGATTTGTAGGAATACAAATGTCCATTGTTGTGATGATTATTGATTTTAATATTATATGTTCAGAAACAAACAATATAAAAAATCTGATATCAAATTCACCAAAATCAAATTTTGGAAATCAAGTACAAAGAATGCATAAAGTTACAAAAAATGGAGATTTATAATACTGTGCTTTGAATTCTAATTTTGAATTTTTCATAATTTGTCTACTAACCTATCCATTATCTTGTAATAGAGCTATGTCGTCATTAATGTTGCAAAGTAGTATTTGAAATAGAAAAGATGTACAAAATTCTATCTTGAGAGTCTGTCTAGAAATCGAGAGCCTAGAATTATAGTTTTGTAATGTTTCGTACAGGAAAATGTTGTTGATTTTTACAAGTGTTATGCATTTATGTTTTGTTGGAATCTTAGTTTCTGATTATGAAACCTTATACTTTCTCTTTTTACATAACATTTTCATTCTCCATCTTGATGCTCGTCATATTCTTGTCTTGTTCTCTTGTTATTGTATCATATGACTTTAAGAATAACTATATTGATTCTAAAGGATGTCACACAGGTTTTTGAGAGAGAGAGAGAGAGGATATAGCCAACATGTTTAACGTGAATAAAAATGAATTCAGAACAACCTCTGCTCAAGCTGCTAAGTAAATCTAGTTATTATGTTCTTTACCTTTTTTATATTCGGACAGTAGTATACGAGTTACTCGATTTAGGATTATTATTCCACTTCTGGGATGGTTGTTTGTCGTATTTATAATAGTCTGGGTTATGTTAGAATGGGTTCGGTTTGTTGAGACTTCCGAGTTCTCACTTACGGCAACGGGTTTCCTCCAGAAACTGGAGTTCGAAAGCAAAATGTGTTGGCTACTCGCAAGCGGACCCAAAGTTTCGGGAAACTGTTTGAATACGATTGCTATGACACGAAGAGAAGCAGCTATGTCTGGTTCAAAGTCTTCTATATCTGAACAAATCTTCTCACAAGAGCTTGTATTTCCTGACTTTGAGCGGCGAACACTCTCTGACGTTGTTTAGTAGCAAATTGCTACAGCCGTTGCAATTCAGAACCCATAATTGCAGACGTGAACTTTCATTTACGATTAGTGTTCAAATTCTTCGTAAATTGGAACTGCTTTCGTAGAGTATACCGTTTTCTTTCTCATGGGAACAGATGGGGGTATTCGGAGTTTATGGGATGAGGACAACGCAATGATAGAGGCTTTTATGGGATCTGCGGTTTATAGTATGCCTTGCAATACTCAAGTAGAATTACCAGGAGCGGAAAGACCTGCGTATAGTGAAACAGCCCTCCAGCAGAAACTCCAACTCCTTGTTGAATCGTCCACCGTCAATTGGACGTATGCAATCTTCTGGCAACTCTCAAACTCCTCTAGCGGAGAAATGTAAGTTAAAAATTGTGAACTGCCTGATTTCACTTTCCTTTTATTCAATTTTGCAACTAGCGGAAATACTTGTTTTCAATCATTCCGAAGTGGTTTGTATCTTCGTATATACGATGTTGCCTACACACGAATTGTGGCGTGTTAGACTTTCTCCAGATTGTTCTAATTTACATAATAACTTTGTGGGAAGCTGAAAGAGGATTGGGTGGTTGTTATTGCTTCGAAGATCTTCTCGTGATGTGACTGTGTATCTTATATTTTGGAACTTGTGAGGTGAGGACAGATTTGGGACGAGAGTAATCACAGAAGACATTGGCATTTTCTTTTATCCATATACTCACTTAAATGTGCATGACTTCCTTCCTGGAAAATTATTGGTTAGGTTTCAGCCTTATGAGACCTCGCTAGGGTTCATGGTATAACGGGTCTTTTCAAAAACTCTGATGACTGCAAATAACGCCTAAAGAGCTGTTTTCCCGTGTAAAGAGATGTGGAGGGTTTAGTTACGAGTTTTTTACACTACTCGAGCTGTGTGGGTTTGGAAATGCATGCTTGTCACACATGCAGATTTTGGTTTTTCGAAGAAATATGCTACAGCTTTCTTGTGATGCAGGATGTTAGGATGGGGTGATGGATATTTCAAAGTCCCGAAGGAAAGTGAGGTGAATGACCTGAAGCACTTAGAGAGAGGTGACAGAGAAGAGGATCAGCAGCTCAGGCGGAAAGTTCTTCGTGAGCTGCAAGCCCTCGTTTGCAGTACGGAAGATGATGCTGCAGCATCTGCGGGGCTTGATTATGTAACGGATACAGAGTGGTTCTACCTTGTCTCGATGTCATGTTTCTTTGGTCATGGTGTTGGGTATCTTCTTTCCCTACAATCCTTCGTTTAAAGTTCGTTTTGATTCGAAGATTAGTGTATGAATTGAGTTAATTGTGTTGGTTTTGTCGAACTTGCACTACACCTCTTTGTAATCAGCTTATCAGGGTTTATTCTGAATAAGAACAATTTTATTATCACAAAATTCGAATTTGAATCTCTCTCTCTCTCTCTCTCTCTCTCTCTCTCTCTCTCTGTGTATCCGTCTTGTTGTAGTGATATCGTCAATAAATTGTAGACCTCAGTACCTGAAAATGACATTGTGGGTAGGGGTGTTTGATGTTTGTTATGAGAATTTCAAGCTTTATTGCGAGTGGTTGTCGCATTTTAAAGTTCTTTGGGTAATGGTGCACTGACCTGTTGTACATGTTTTCGTCGGTGCAATGCCTTTTATCCTTGAGAACCGTTGTGGTCGATGTGCCATTCTGTTCTGATCTCTTAGCACTGGGATAGCTGACCATGTTCTATACAGCTGGTAGTTAAATTTTCTTTATCAACCTCAAGATACTTCTTGTTCATCGTTGGGTGTTCCTACATCTTACCTTGTTGTTACCGTTTCAGTCCGAGTTGTATGTAGACCGAATGTTTTGCCAGATATGATATCAGGCTGCTGTTGCAGCCATCGTCATATACTACTGGAAGTTCCCGTATGCAAATATTTCTGCAGAAATTAGAAGCAGTCTAAAGTTACATTTTCTTTGGGTTTTCTGGGAATGTTACAATAACTTGTTGCCACCTTTTCTTTTATCAGCAGCATGTTCTATCTCACAGACCCTTTTAGTTGCATATATCTGCGACAAGAGCCCTTCTTCTTATTGGTATGGATTTCAGGATTGACACTCAGCTGCTTCAGAATCTAGCGACAGTTTTATATTCCCAACTCCAAGGGTGTGCAGAACAGTACAGCATGCAATGCATATAGGAGTGCTTCGGAAAATCCTATTTGGTAAATTTCAAAGTCTGATAGATATCTAGAACTCAGTTGCACCGTATGTCCAATGTTTTTCGCTGCATGTGTGTGGTTGCTAATCGAGCAGCTACTGAAGACATACATACACAAACTACAAGACGTCTGTTATTAGACAGTTTGGGGGTAGAAACTGTGTCATATGTTGTAGTTGCTGTTTGTTGGACTCATTAGTGATTGCTTGTCATAATCCCGCTCTTGGTGGCGCTAGCGATGAGGAATGAGGACGAAGAAGAAGTAGTGAAGGTGGATGAAGGCGGAGGGAAAAAAAAAGAATGTGCTTGAGAGTAAAGAAGGTGGTGCCAAGGAACTTGTGCCTCTAAGATGAGGAGTCCTCAAAGTTCTCCAGTGTCAGAGGCTCATTGACCTGCTTACTTCTTGAAATTTTTGTAGCTTTGGGCTTTTCTCGGGTTAGATTATTTTTTGCTACTGTCATTGGGATTCCTGCGAATGCGCTGTATCTGACGAGATAAGAGTCTCAGATTTTGTCCTTTATGCCACACTGCAAGTTGCATCGTGGTTCCCCATCTTGATCTTTATGAGGTTTAGAGGGTGACTGCTATTTGCAACTTTGGCGTAAGTCATTTGCCAAGACATGAAAGTCAGGAAGATTTTGCTTCAAATGAGTTTAGGTGCTCATTCTCGATATGGAGCGGGCAGGTGCATAAGTTGATACCTCTCTGCTCTGTTTTTTAGAACCCAGTCACCACGTCCGATGTTACGGTTTTAAAGGGCTCTGTCCTTTTTCCTCAAAGTACATGCGTCTACTTTCCAAAACGTGTCCTGTACTCGACTTAATGAATGCTCTGCAGATCTCATTTGCCGTTGATGAGGCTACAGATCATCTGAAAAGACCTCAGAGTTCTCTGTGAGATGGTTTTTAGGAATGGCTTGTCCAGTTGGATTGGCAATGTCCCGTCGAACTCAAATGAGAGTTTTGGCCTCACTCGTACTCGAGCCCTTCGTGCAGGTGTTGAGACCATGGTGAGAAAGGCCTGATGTCAACCGTCAATTGGGATTGAATGATTCAATGCTATGCTATGTTTGGGGTCTGTTGTTTATTGCTTGATATGTACAACGCAACGGTTAGAGTCCTCACAATTTTACCTCCTTTGCTCGTCGGTCTCCTAGTGTGACAAGACCTTGCCGTTGATGACGTAAATAGAATTATGTCATCAATCCTATTCGTCCTTTGCACACTTGTATCGTATGCCATTTGAGATCCTAGGAGAAAGTCACCGCGGTTCTCCGAAGAAGGATTTATTCGAGGGTATAAGAGTACAAGAGTATAGGAGTATATGAGTATGCATCCCATAATGAAAATGGCTTCTCGACCGGTGGGGCCCACCTGTCCCTCCCTGATGACACCATCTGCTTGCTAAAAATGCTCTATATGGGTGTTGATGGTTTGTCATAAACGTGTGTGGTCCAACTTCACACGATGGCCATATGGCTCACTGGAAGTTGCAACAGGAAAAGCCATAAAAGCATCAGAGGGGAATAATAGCTTCATGACTGCATTAAGGAGTGTGAAACCCTGGTCTTCGCCTCGGTGAAGATGTTGACAGCGGTGCCTAACCTCCACATGAAGGAGAAATCCTCCTTTTCAGGCGGGTTGATGAGGAGGACGAGTGGAATGACCATCCTATGCCCAGATTTAGTTGTGGGTAAATTCTAACAAATTAACACTATCAAAAAGTAGAGCAATGCAAGAATGGGTCGACACAGGTCTTAGGAAGGATCATCGTAAGAGTTGTTGATAAAACACAGGTCCCCGGATTGGGTTTAAATACCCAATTCGAGGTGACAAGGGATGTGCTCTGATACAAGGGAACACACCCCTAAACTGGGTCGCAGTCACATCACACTCACAGTCCACATCACAGTCCTAACTATAAGGACACTAACTGCACTAATCCGCACAGACAGGAAGTAATTGGGAGTATAACAGTATTCTAACACTCCCACTTACTACCTACTTACTTCTCTCTTCCTCATTTCCAACTAACAAACCCAAATTCTGATTATGACACCAATGCCTTCTCTAGCTAATGGTTTTGTCACAATATCAGCAATCTTCTCTTCGGTTGGAAGATAAACCAACTTCATCAAGTTATTTGCGACTAGGTTCCTGACAAAATGATATGTAATATCAATGTGTTTTCATCTTTCATGATTTTTCTGGTTTTCTACTTGTGCAATAGCACTTTGATTGTCGCAGAATATTGTTGACTCCAGCTCAAAGCCGAGATCCTTCAATAATTCACTTAACCACATAGCTTCAGCTCCAGACTTGGACAAAGCCATATACTCTGCTTCTGAAGAAGAAAGTGCTACTGACTTTGTTTCTTTGATGTCCAACTAATGGTTACGCCATGGAGTTGGAAGCAATATCCAGAAGTAGATCGTCTCGTGGCAAGGCCATCTCCCCAGTCCGCATCAGAATATCCAGTCAAACCGGATGGTTTATCAGCCCTTGTAAATACAAGGCCAAAATCGAGAGTTCCTTCCAGATATCTGAAAATCCTCTTAACTGCCTTCCAGTGTATCAATCCAGGATTTGACATGAACTGAGCCACTGAACTAACAGCATAAGATATATCGGGTCTAGTACAGACCATCGCCAACATCAAGCTCCCAACAGCAGCTTGATATGGTATATCTTTTATCTCTTCACTTTCTCCCACTGAATTGGGAGAGTCAAGCACAGTTAAGTTCAAACCGGGTTCCATAGCATCTTTCCATTTGATAGAATCACCACTCTGGAAAGCGTCTTGATAAGTAGTAGGTTCTTTGTGAGTCTCTCAATACGAAAATAAACCTCTATGCTTCTTCTTCTTTTCCAACAGTTGATCATATTTTTGGACACGTTTCCTTACTCTTTCCCCCCTTCGAAAGATAGGATCGATGGTGCGGGAAGAGGGTGAAGCTGCCCCCGTAGCTGTATGGTGAGGAGGTTGAACAGCCGGGGCCTCAGATGTAGTGTCTTGAAGTCTGAGGTCACCCAGTAGGTGCTCGAGGTTGCGAACCGTATCAACAAGAGGAGTAGAAAAGAGCGGATTCTCCCGTAGCTTTCATGTGCGCGGATAAGTGGCAGGGACTTCAGCTGTGGGAGGATGACTCACGGAGGGAGTGGAAGGTGCTTGTGGAACTCCCACTCCAGGTGATGCAAGAGGAGTAGAAAAGAGAGGATTCTCCCGTAGCTTCCATGTGCGCGGATAAGTGGCAGGGACTTCAGCTGTGGGAGGATGACTCACGGAGGGAGTGGAAGGTGCTTGTGGAACTCCCACTCCAGGTGATGGTGTAACCGGGCTGAAGGCTCCCACTGCTGGTGGCCTTCCTGCTGGTGGCCGTCCTGGTGGTAATATTGGCGGAAGGGGAAACCTGCGATCTGGATCAGTAGATGAAACTAATGCGAATGGGAGTAAAACCTTCTTGCTCAGCAGGCGGAACAACTGATGCCTGCTGATGGGGAAAGGGAGATTCCCCAACTGCAGGAGGCATAAATCTGACAGATCTGCTCTCAAGAATCTTATGAGAGTCTTTTCGCTGTAACCTATATCCTTTGGCTATAGGAGAATAACCAAGGAAAAACCATTCTACAGTCTTGGGGTCAATCTTACCCCCGATGGCCTTTTTCAATATGGGCAAAGGCAGGACATCCAGAAACTTGTAAGTGGCGCAGATCAGGCTTCTGTCCATGCCAAAGTTCGTAGGGGATTTCGTCATCGGGTAGAGGCTTCGATGGAGATCTGTTCTGCAAGTAAACAGCGGTATGGATGGCTTCGCCCCAATAACCATGAGAAAGACCAGAATGTGTCAACATAGCTACAACTAAATCGATCAAAGTACGATTATTCCGTTCAGCTACTCCGTTTTGTTCGGGAGTATCAGGAATAGAAAACTGACGTTGAATACCATGAAGCGTACAAAATTCAGTAAAAGCTCGAGATTTGTATTCAAGAGCATTATCTGATCGGAGAACTTTGATGCGCTTGTTCAGGTAATTTTCAGTCATCAATTTGAATTCCTGAAACTTGGCAAAGGCTTCAGACTTCTTTTGTATCAAATACACATGCGTATATTGTGAAAGGTCATCAATAAATGTTATGAAATATTTACATCCAGAGAATATTTGAGTTCTCAGAGGGCCACATACATCTGTGTGCACTAGACCAAGAAGGTCTATAGCACGAGTGGTTCCTTTACTTGGTAATTTAGCTCTGGTAGACTTTCCTAGAGCACATGAAGTGCAGAAAGGGAGAGTTCGAAAGGAACATTTATCCAAACCTTGTACCATATGATGGTGCTTCATTTGCTGAATCTGCGGAAGACTCATATGGCCAAGCTTTAGATGCCATTGATAGGTGTTGGAAGCCGAGTAACTAACATTGGCAGAAACTGCACGTGTATTGGCAGAAGTCGTTCCTAGCCTGAAAAGTTTGTTGTCACTTATGCACTGAGCAATGACGTGACCCATCTTGTACTTCAAGATGCATTGATCAGGTTTAACCAGTAGACTCCCTCCTTGGAGAACAAGCTAATTTATCGAAAATAGATTCTTTCAGAGAGCAGGAACATGTAGTACATCAGGTATTATCCTTTCCTGTCCATTCAAAGAATTGAGAACATTCTCTATTCCTTGTGGGTTGGCCAATGTCGTCGCCCAGATATACGAATTCTTCCGATGGTAGTGTAGTATATGTCACAAAAGCATTTTTGTTATATGCCATGTGCTAGAATCCATTTACCATGCAGGATTCGTCTACGTTTGCTATAGAGTTTGCTATAGAATGTGCAGAAGGGATATCTTGTTTATTCTTACGACACTCATTAGCAAGATGGCCTTGCTTCTTGCTATAGAAGCATTTCATCTTTTGCTGGGAATAGATGCTTTCACAGGAGGTTCTTGTCGTAATGAAGAACCTGTCTCAGTGGATTTTCTTGGATGCATCATCTTTGACGTTGAGGTAGTTCACCCTCGTCTCTTTGCTGTCATTCCGTCGGTCAACTTTTTTTCTTGGAGGTGTGAGTCTTCAAGAAAAACACTTGCAATAACAGATTGAGTGGTCAACATGTGTTTTGACCGCATCAAACGCACAAAAGATATATACTCTATAGGAAGACTTCGAAGGAGACAGGTATATACCTCTTTCTCTGCAATGGTCTGTGTTAGATTCAGACGATGCAATAGAGAGTAAGAGATCAGTGAGTTGAGGAAGGATTGAAGTTATAATTGATGGATGATAACATGCGACCCGGATTGGGTTTAAGTACCCAATCCGGATAGGATCAAAGGTCACTAGAGAGCACACGGATCGAAGCTCTACGAAGGGTCATGCCCCTGTCACGGGACGCTCCCAGAAGGGTCGCATCCCCAGTTAGTATCCATCCTAACTATTAGTAACCTCAGTCCTAACAACTAGGACATAGTATACAGGTCCCGAAGAAGTAGGGAGTAATCAGCATTCTAACACTCCCACTTGCTACCTACTTACTTCTCTCTTCCTCATTTTTATCTAATAAACCCAGATTCTGACAATGACACCAATGCCTTTCTCTAGCTAATGGTTTTGTCATGATGTCAGCTATCATGTCCTCGGTTGGGAGATAAATCAGCTTGACCAAGCTATTCGCGGCTAGGTCCCTGACGTAGTGATATCTGATATCGACGTGTTTAGATCTCTCGTGATTCTTCTGGTTCACAATCTGTGCAATAGCACTTTGATTGTCGCAGAATATGGTTGTCGACTCCAGCTGGAGACCTAGATCTTTCAATAATTCTCTCAACCATATAGCTTCAGCTCCAGCTTTGGACAAAGCCATATATTCTGCTTCCGTGGATGAAAGTGCTACCGACTTTTGTTTCTTTGATGTCCAACTAATGGTTCCACCATTGAATTGGAAACAATATCCAGAAGTAGATCGTCTCGTGTCAAGGCAACCTCCCCAGTCCGCGTCAGAATATCCAGTTAAACCGGATGGTTTATCAACCCTTGTAAACACAAGGCCAAAGTCGAGAGTCCCTTTCAGGTATCTGAAAATTCTCTTGACTGCCTTGCAGTGCATCAGTCCGGGATTTGACATGAACTGAGCTACTGAGCTCACAGCAAAAGATATGTCAGGTCTAGTACAGACCATTTCCCACATCAAGCTTCCAACAGCAGCTTGATACGGTATATCTTTCATCTCTTGACTTTCTCCCACTGAATTAGGAGAGTCAAGCACACTTGACTTCAATCCGGGTTCCATTGGTGTGTCAATAGGCTTACAGTCAGCCATGTTGAACTTTGCAAGCTTCTCAACAAAATATCGTGGTTGGGAGATCTGAATCCACCCTTCTTCACGATTTCTGTCAACTTGCATACCAAGACACTGATGGATCTGTTCTAAGTCCACCATATCGAACTCCGTTTTGAGTTTCTTCTTGATCTTGGTAAGAAGATTCAAGGAATTACTTGCCAAAATACAATCGTCCACATATAGTGCTAAATACACAAATGCTTTCTCCTGAGAGTATATATAAACATTCTGATCTGCATTTGCTCTGGTGAAAGCAATCTGCAGTAAGAACGAATCAATCCTCTGATACCACTGTCGTGAGACAGTGGTATCAGAGGTTCAGTTTACATACTATGTTTCTCTCAGAAGAAATATTCAACCCTTCAAGAAGGGCCATGTAGACTTCTTCATCTAATAGTCCATTCAAGAATGCAGTCTTCACATCCATCTGGTGCAGCTCTAAGTTGTGCTGAGCTGCTAGAGCCAATAACACCCGAATGGATGTCATCTTTACCACAGGAGAAAATGTCTCCGAAAAGTCGACACCGTAAACCTGTGAGTATCCTTTCGCTACTAACCTTGCCTTATAGCGATCCACAGAACCGTCTGGCTTGTATTTGATTTTGAAAACCCATTTGCAACCGACGACGTTCTTGCCCGCAGGTAATTCTGTCAGCGTCCATGTCTGATTTTTCTTCAAGGAAGAAAATTCGTTTTCCATTGCTGCTTTCCACTGGACAGAATCTCCACCTTGTAAGTATTCTTCATAGGTGGTCGGCTCTTTCCGAGTCTCTTGATATGAGACTAAACCTCTGTGCTTCTTCTTCCTCCTTCCAACAATTGGTCATATTTTTCGACTCTTTTCCTAACTCTGTCCCCCCTTCGAAAGATAGGATCGATTGTCTGGGAAGAGGATGAAGCTGCCCCCTTTGCTGCAGTATCAGAGGGTGGAGCAACCGGGGCCTCAGATGTAGTTTCTTGAAGTCTGAGTTCGCCCAGTAGTTGCTCGAGGTTGCGAACCGTATCATCAAGTTTCTCCCGAGACTTCCAGGCGCGCCTCTGATAGGTCTTACCAAAATGGGCCGGATAAGTCGCGGGAACTTCAGCTGTAGTAGGATGATTCATAGTAGGAGGTGAAGGAGCTGGTGGAGCTCCCACTCCAGGTGATGGTGTTTCTGGACGGAAGGCTCCCACTGCGGGTGGCCTTTCTGCTGGTGGCAGGTCCACTGCTGGTGGAATAGGAACTCTGCAATCTGGAACAGTAGATGAGCTTGTAGGTAAATGGCTAAAGAGAAAACCGCCTTGGTTATTAGGCGGAACAGCTGATGTCTGCTGCTGAGGGAAGTTGGATTCCCGAGCGGCAAGAGGCATAAACCTTACAGATCTGCTCTCGATAATTTTACGAGAGTCTTTTCGCTGCAGCCTATATCCTTTAGCTGTAGGAGAGTAACCAAGGAAAATACATTCTACGCTCTTAGGGTCAATCTTACCCCGATGATTCTTCTCAACATGGGCAAATGCAGTACATCCAAAGACTTGCAGGTGACTCAGATTGGGCTTCTGTCCATGCCAAAGTTCGTAAGGGGTTTTGGCTGTGGGCAGAGCCTTCGATGGAGATCTGTTTTGCAAGTAAACTGCTGTATGCATTGCTTCACCTCAATAGCCATGCGTCAGACCAGAATGTGTTAGCATAGCTATGACCGAATCGATCAAGGTTTGATTCTTTCTTTCAGCTACTCCGTTCTGTTCGGGGGTATCAGGTATCGTGAACTGTCGGTGAATGCCGTGAAGCAGACAGAAGTCATTAAAAGCTCGAGATTTATATTCCAGACCATTTTCTGATCTCAGAACCTTAATTCGCTTGCTCAGGAAGTTCTCAGTCATTAACTTGTATTCCTGAAATTTAGCAAATGCTTTGGTATGGATCTGCAAGACGTATAAAAAGACGTAGAGTACGTTCGCAAGTTGTAAGACAGAGCTGTTATTTTCCCACGAGCTCTGTGGGGAACCACTCGGACCCGCGTGTATTCACATCAGCTTAACTCCGTCAATTTAAGTTTGGTGCCAACGGACGTGGCCGGTGGATGAGCTAGTGTAGGTCTTCTTGTCCCACAACTGGAAGATTCTTTTACTTTTATAGCTGGGGAAATCGAATGATACGAGAGACACTGTGTTTGAAGTATTCTTCCCTCTTCCCCTTCCATTTTCTTCCCATCTAATTTCGTCTCCTTTCCAGTTTGTTACCACTAGCACGGGCACGGGGTCTCTGGCGTTTAGGCTTTGACATGGAAAGCATGGACGAGTTTGATGAAAAGTGGGATGTATGCCCAGGTTTTGTTTACATAATTACAAAAACCAAAAAACTTAATGCTTTCGTTCGTACGATCTAGTCTCTCATAGAAGCTCTTCCTGCATTCTGCTCTTAAGCTGATACAGGAGTGAATTGCTTTGTCGTTCTTTGTCCTGAATGTAATGTTCCTTTTTAGACGTGGGTAAGGACGTCTCTTACCACACACCTAGTCTTATCTCGCGCTTTTAGGTTCAATTAGAGCTTTGTATCTCACCCTCAGCGTCGTGTATTCCTGCACTTTTTTTTTTAATTATAACTTGTTACCAAGATGTTTCTGAAATGTCGATCCTCATTGTTGTGTTTCTGGGATGCAGGACACCAGGACAAGCACTGGCGAGCAGGAACTATGTGTGGCTTATGGAAGCGAACAAGGCTCCTAGTCACATCTGCACGCGAGCTGATCTCGCCAAGGTGGATCCCTCTTCTGCGTATACCTCTGAATTTAGCATTCAACTTAACTAGGTCCATAATTTAGAAAAACTTTGTTGACCAACAAGATATAGTGAATTTGGCTGAACCGAGTGAAACTCGATACACATGGAATTAGTGAGTGCTGTGCAAGTTTTATTTGTGTGTTTGTATTATCTGGTCTTTCTGAAGTCTTTAGGCATAGTCTATTAGCGGAGTAATGGAGTGTGGTTGCTGTTGTCTACATCACAAATTATTTACAAAATGCATATATCGGGTTTGTCGTGTTGCTACCGTGGCGTATTTTCAGTTGAAAGTGTTGGATGGGACCCTAAATCTTCCTCGACCATTCGCCCTTCATTGTGAAAGATGGATTCCACCAGTGTGGCTTCCCTTTCCTGTATATTAGCATCTGCCACTTGAGTTCCCAGTTCTTTAACTAAACTTTTAGTTCTACATTCTTTTGTTAAGTTACTCCTCTTGAACTTGCTTGATTAATTACATAGAACTGTATTTGTCTTATGTTAAGTTGATTGATTTCCAAATTTCTGAAAATTTGTATTTCTCGCGTTGATTATTCTTGTTTGTGAAGAGTCACAAAAGTACGTGGATTTGTTGCTTGTTCTCCATGCTCAGAATCTAGCTAAACATCTGTGTAAAGATCAAAGATCAGAGAGCATACTAATTCTGATTTCTAAACTTCTTCCGAACTCAGAGTCCTAGAGGGTTTACCGAATCTGTCTTCGACTTGTCTTCCGGGATCGTGATGAAGGCAAATAGAGAGTAAATATTATCGCCGAGATGTCTCACATGTCTTGATCATTTTCTTGACCTGGCTATATTGAGAATACACAAACGAGGGTCCCTTGCTCTCGACTCGGGAAGAAAGTTCATGGACCAAGTAAACTCTTCAAACATTTGTTGTTATGTTTTGACTGCGCTCGTAAGATGTGAGTGGATGAACGGCTGTTGAAGCTGCTTTTTTGGACCATAGACTATCAGAAGTGAGGCAATACAAGAAAGAGTCGAGAGACACAGGTACTGAGTCCTGGAGAGCAGATCTTAGTTAATGGGGAGAGAACCCGGATGATGAACTCTGTCACGGTTGGGTGATAGAGGTCATCCGAGAGATACAGAAAACCCTAGTGGACAGCGGCTGGTCGTGACTGAGTGTCACGACCACGACTATAGTACAAAGTACATACAACAAGAACGTGAGTGTACGGAGGTCCAAGAAGTGGGTAGTAATACGACTTCTAACATAGAGTATTCTTCATCCCGGCTTACAGGAGGTGTATACATTCTTCTGACAAGATCTTCTCTTTTTTCTGCAATAGCTGTAGACTGTAAAGTGGTCTTTCACCAAGTTTGGTTTAGGTCGTTGTTACCCACTTAATGCAGGTTCATGCGAAGAAATGTTTGGTTCGTGATTCCCTTTTTTTCCTCAATGATGCTTAAAATATCTAATCTGAAATCTGTAAGGTGTAACCAGATCGTCTTTCACGCATATACGTCTTTGTACATCTTCACAGCAACTACTCCAGGCAATCTTATTTAAATTAGCAGCTACGACTCTCACCTCTACCTTCTGCGTCTCGTTTATTTTACCTCGGCCGTCTTGCGTCGATATATCTTCATTCGAGGCTATTTTCGTATGGGAATTTTTCTCACGATGCCTTTCATGTGGTGGTTTCTGGATTTAAGTGATGATGAGTTTCCTCGTTTCCTTGAAATTATGTCTACATGGCTTCCGTTTTTTTGAACGCCGTTAACATTGATATTGTCTTGTTGGTCCTTACCGTCGTATATTTTCATTGAGTGGCATTCTCGCCCCGACACTTTTAGTACTTCTCGCCTCTTCTTACTGACGCTTCGGTTTGTCGTTCCTTCTCTGACAGAATCAATACCCTGCATGACATGTCCCACTTTCATCATAGAGTTCTCTTTGCTTGCTATCTTGTATATTTCGTCGGCACCTTTGAGATGTAACACCGAGGTTTGCGTTGCTGCGGTCTCTTACACGCAAGCCCTTTCGTGTGGTCACGACATTGTCCTTCCCTTTCTTGTTGTTGGCGGTGCATTGCCCTTTCTTGTACTTTTCGTTTTACAAAAAATGCTTGGTCATGTTCGCTATATGTCGCTATTGTGCGTGTTCCATTTACTAACTATGTGAGTCCTCCTTGGGAAGAAGCATGGTATCTGGTACTTCCGTTCGCTGCCTCCACTGCACTGGTTAATCACTAATCACAATGTCAACAGTATCAACAGTGTTGCTCTCTGCAGGTTAGACCTATCTTGTCCTTAAACCTGAAGACGATTATTATAATTAGTTGACGGGCAGTTGATGCGTCTGTTGTTCCTGCGAAAGCCTGCGATGGGTCTGCCTCAAATCTCAGAGGTGCAATGTATGTTACCATCTTGATAATCTGCATGTCATATTAGAGCGCGTTTTGACTGACCCCTTTGTAATGTCAGTTATAGTACAGTCACTCGTATTGAGTACTTGTACTGAAGCTTCCTCTATACACACTCACACGCACTCACTCACACACACACACTTTTCTCTTGAACGCTTTATGTTACACTTGTCATTCTTCTGATCCTATATGTTTTTGGTTTCTTGGCTTTGACTATATATATTCTCTAGCCAACAGTATGCTAAGTGTGAAGTTTACGCGCACTGAGGAGAAGTAAGTAAAACCCTGATTCGAAGACCGTCATTTTTCATAGTTGAGAAGAAAATGAGTCAACTCCTTAATACAAGTCGTTCATCACTAAGTTTTGTTGAATGTGGAAGATGAATGTGGTTTTTATTTTCAGATCATTCTGTTCCGCACGTAGCTGTAGTGAGTATTCATTTTTTATCATATTGCACACCATAGCTACTCATTGTCGAATGTTGCATCCCATGAAATTTTCCTGCTTACGGCGGCCTTGGGTGTAATTCTATCGGGTTCGAGGAACCATAGGACACTCTGTTGTCCCCGCTTGTTCACTCATTATAAGCATGTCTCACTTTCTGTTTTTTATACGTGCATTACATACCATGCATTGTGGCTGCTTGCTTCCCTTTTCTGCGACTCACTTGCAGGGTTCTGTTCTGGATACCAAAAGAATGCATGTCCACTCATTCTGTCGATGTTTCCACCAGGATGCTATGATTTGTATTCTGGTGTGCTATGTAATTTTTGACCGTTCCGATGCATCGGTTATGCCCTTGATAGAGCGCCTATAGTTGCACCTTCCGGGTTTGTGCTCTTGGGTTCCCTTGCGTGTAAAGCCCTTGGGGTTAATCACATGACATCTTAATAATATCAAGAGTTCCGCTAGAATTCAACTTCTAAAAGAGCGCTGAGATGCCCTGCCGTTCCTTTTATCTTTCGTAGTGGAGCACAGTACATCTGAACCAGCAGCACACATTCTGAATCATACTCTTGGTCGTCGTTTCTTGCAGATGGCTGGAATACAGGTAACCTTTTAACATTTTTCAGGATGAAGGATTGTCTTTCCCGGTTGTTTGCTGGTTGCCGCGTGATGACTTTATTTCAGTTCATGCGGTAACAGAAGTGTAGCTACCGGGGGTGTTTTTCGGGCTCAGGCTTGTTAAATATTCGCAGTGGTTGGAAAGTATTGCTGATTGTGCTAAGTAGAGGATTTCGTCTAACTTGGGCAGTTTCCGTTGCCTTTTGACTAGTCTTCTGTTCGTTGTTTCAATGCCATTGATATTGATTGGTTTAAAAGATTAGAAATTTGTGTTGTTACAGACACTCCTCTGTGTGCCGTCAAGAAGCGGAGTTGTTGAGCTTGGTTCCACTGACTTGGTAAGAGACTTCCATTACTTCTTTGTATCTTGGAATGTAAATGTAATGTCATTTGTGGCTCAATTATTGTTTGCAGCGATGCTGTGTATAAACTATAAAGTACACTTCCTCGGCCTCAATCAGTGGATGTGTTTTTGGCTTACACAGGAACTGGATACAAATTAGTTTGTTCAAGGCAGCAGGGGGATTTGCAGCAAAATTTAGCGGACCGATAGATGTCGATGTTATGTGTTCTGGGTTTGAGGCAATGCCAGTGTGCCCGGCTCCTTTTGTCTGTATCAATCAACCGGCTAACAAGAACAGAGCACACAGCCAGCTATTGTTAGTGGGCCGTGTTTGACTTATTGACATGTTGTGTTAGATTGCAGAGAACTTAGACATCATTGAAAATGTGAAGATGGTGTTCTGTGACATGGGTGAAAGCAATTGCAACTCCCAGGCAATTATACTGAATGAAGACTCGGCCTTTCTCCCCTGCCCTGCGAGTCCTTCATTGGGTAGCATACATGGGTCCACGAGGCACCTGTTACTAGACAGAGGGCCAGACGCTAGTTCGTCATTCAGGCCCATTCACCTGGACAAGATGAATTCATCAGTTTGTACGAATGTGGATTCATTCGATTATCTCTTTTCCGAGGATTTTGCTTTTGGTGATGTTTCAATTGATAATGAGAAGGAGCTTCAAAGTGCCAGTACTTTTACCGGGTCTTACCGAGGCAAAGTATCCTGTCAAGAGGATAAAATTTCGTCAGTTGGAATTGCTAAGAAGTCGCTACCTGCAGGGCAAGCGCAGAACCTTACTCGTGGCATGGAGACCGGAGAAATCTTGAATCCTCCAGAACTCAGACAGGGTAGAGACATTTTGCAAGTGAATGACGTCGCAAGTACTCGTATAAAAGAAGAAGGGACCATCAAGACTTCGAAGCACAAGCTCTCCTCATCTCTGAAATCTCAACATCCAGAAGGGATTGGCACACTTGGTAGCGCTTACGTTCGCTCCAGTATTGAATCTGAACAGGATATTGATTCAGAGGCAGAAGTCTCATATAAGGAAGTCGAATGTAGTTTCACTGTGGGACAGAAGCCTCCGAGAAAGCGTGGAAGGAAGCCTGCCAACGATAGGGAGGAACCATTGAATCATGTTCAGGCTGAGCGTCAAAGACGAGAGAAACTCAATCAACGTTTTTACGCCCTGCGGTCTGTTGTACCAAATGTCTCAAAGGTGATCTTGTATTGTACTGTCTTCTTTGTAGTGTATCCAAGTGAGGCGACTAAAAGACTAGTAACGGAATTATGAAGGGAATCCGTCTCTCCTTGTAACGTTCCCGTCCTGAGTTGGTAAAGCACTTTAAGCAGATAGCATAGAAAAGGCGGGATCTTTCTCATTTTTTCTCCCTGGTCCTTGCACTCTTCTCCGAGTGTTTGATAATAATCGAAAGGGGTATTAGAGCCAACAGTAGATTGAATAACATCTCGGAGCTTTCCTTCTCTTCTTCAGGGTTTTCAGGACCTTTCATTCAGAACTCATGATGGTGATCACTGATGGTTTGGATTTGGACAAATTCGTTACATTCGGTGCTACCTTCTGATAGAAGGTGTATTGTATTTCCTGTAGTTTGTTATCCGTTGTTTTAGATGCTTTTCCCAGTATTGCGACGTGTGTGTCATCCAACCTTACATAGTCATTACTCTCTTAAACTCATATGGCGTTGTGAAGGTGCGACCGACGAGTTTTGATGTGAGTACAGTATGTTTATAGGTTTTCTGCCCTGTACATCCGGTTTCAACTTATTTTGACTTTTGTACTCGTAATATGTCTTGGCTGCTTTTGGGCATTATAGTTTAGCTATGTTCAACGATTAGTCTTTTGGTCCTTGGGAATGGAGCTTGTGTTGCTTTAATTGGATCGTTATATCGTTTTCTGATATACCCCTAACAAGCACTACATATCTATCTTTTGTAGATTGATATTTCCGGCATCGCATAAGTAGATAGCGTCTTGTAATGAGCTGCTGAAATTATTGGGGAGGGTTCACTTCATCAACAGAGGCTGTAGGTTTAATGTTTTGTATCCCCGTAATGTTTGTAATGCCTCTTTCACCTTTGTCTAAATCCCGGCCGTTCTTCCTTTTCTGCTCTCAGAGGGACATGCATTCTCTCAGCGTGCTGTATCTTCATTGTTAAACCGCATTTGCAAGTAGTTGAAGATATTGGTCAGGGGATCCGTTTGTGCTCAGTTGACTGCACCCTACAACCTGTGATCTTTGCCGATGACATTCTGCAGAAGCTCCAGGAATTGATCACATCCACCAAAACCCGGTGTGATATGTGGGTCATGGAGGAAACTGTGCAGAAATGCGGAGAAAATTGTGCAGGAGTATTTTCAGTGATGGCAATTAGTAGATGTGTGCTGGGCAAGAGATACTCTCGGTGTCCGCTAATACGTACTTGAATTTGAAAAGTCAGAAGATTGTACGGATGGACACTACATGCAGAAATCCTCAGAAACGCGCACGAACAGGTCAATTGCATGACCAAGTTCTCCCTGTGGTCTTTTACTAAGTCTATGGAGTACATCAGGACATGCAGCCGTAGTATGGAAACTTTCAGTTTTCAACGTCCTCCGCCGGAAGCAGTGCATGAAAGCTTTCGCGCTATGGTTGTCACACCCAAATAAACGGCTCAGTTGATAGGGAGATTGGTGCAGGGATGAACTCTTCTTGAAGTTTGTGGAGATACTTTTAAGCTGATGTGGAGACCACGGTAGCACCATATGTCATCTTACCCATACCTTCGATTTTATCGGAAGATATTTGGACTTGCAAAAGAGAACGGTGACCTGCTCAGCGTTGGTTGAATCACTGCATACTGAAGGTCACCGTTCTAATTGGACCTGCTGAGATAAAAAAGCCAGCGGTCCAAGTGGCAGTCGTGGTAAATCAGTCGGACGTATGGAGGATGTAGTCGAGGGAAGACAGTCCTGCAATTACCATCAACAATACTTGAACCCTTCAGTGAACGGGAAAGCCAAACGGGAATCAATAGGTGAACGGGAAGCGTCACATTCCCGCAAGTTACCTTACACACGTCGGGGAGCTTGTTGACAATTTCGTCCTCTAGCTGTGTTCGTCGTCTAGTTTCCTTCCTTCCTAATCATGGCTTTCAGACGCACTTTTCTGTATTTCGGTGATCATGTGGAGTCCTTGTTTTCAGAACTTTATGCATTCACGGATTCCTTTTCTTCTGAAGGCTCCCCTTTTCTGGATGGTGTTTATATTCAAATATGGTTTTCCATGGTGTTCACTTACGGTTGATTTCACTCCAATGGCATTCTTATCCATTCATGATGGTTTTCACTCTTATTTGATTTCTCTAAGTTTTATGTTATTTCACTATTCTGTATGTCCCTGTCTTCTTTTACTTACAGCATGGATGTGCTAGGATGTGTTGGACATAGGTTTGAACCAGAGTTTTCACTTTGGTTTGTTGGGCTTCGAGTTCTTTAAAGATCCTGCGCGGTAAAGTAGGATTAGGGTTTAGAAGCCTATGCACCTCGGTATCTACTGATGAAGCTGGTTAGTCCGTTAGTCTAAGTGACGGGAATCTGACGCTTTGCGTTTAAATATCGTTGATGATCACTGGATGACTGTTTCCTGTCGACTAGATCCTCGACTCGGCACAATAAACTATTCACCACTGTCACGTGGACAGCTGGACTTCTCCGTATATTCCACCGCTTTACAAATTCTGAGCTCTTCTGAATCATGCATCGGTTTGTCTTGACTCCTTGCTATGTATCGCAGTTCGTCCCCTCCATTGAGACGCAACCACCTAGATTAGCGTTGCATCGTTCTCTTACATTACAAGCCCTTGCGGCTTCTAATGTACCCTTGTGTGTGTTATATTTTCTTTTGCCAGGCTTGTCACTGGTCGCATGTTATTAGCAAATATCCAATAATACAATAGAGTGATACATTTTTTTATGTTTGTTCTTGTTGCTTTCTTTTGGCATTCGTTCTAATCAACGTTGGTTCTGCAGCTTAAAATAGGGCTTCAATGTTTTGCCACACCTTTTAAGTTTCAGTCACAGCCCCAAAGGCCCGCACTGAGTACCTGAATTCGGTCTCGCTATGTCTTTATACATCTGTATGCTTTGGCTGTTTATTAGGCCATGGCATATCCTTCAGGTTTCTGATGTCTAGGCTGTGCTATAGACTCACGTGCTGAATGTGTAGTTTGATTTCTTGTTATCTAAGATGCAGGTAACATATATATATATATATATATATATATACACACACACACAGTAATTTTCTGCGTTGATTATAGCCCCTGGATTCTACTGGTATCCATACTATTAAATCTCTAATATTTGTAATTGGGTAATTGTATGCCACCTGTTAACTCCCCTCTCCAGATTGATTGTTATTTTTTTGTGCGCTCATGTTCATTGCGTCGACGTCATCCGCATTTGGCGCTGCTTCCATCTATTCAACTTGAGGTGGACTGGATTGAAATGAATTCGTTTGCTTCGATCGTCATTCACTAGCATCGAACTGGAGTGCACGCTTTTTCCTTCATCCAAACTATTTACGAGTAGCTTACAGTTTGTCAGTTTCACGTGAGCGATAGTATTCAAGCTTGGTAACCCGAAGGTCACCCCGGGACTTCAGTGTACGGACACAACTTCAATTTTCATAGTTGCATATTTGTAGTTGCATATCTAAAAGTCTTAAGTACTATTACGTAAAAGTCTTAAGTACTATTACTTATATTTCACGAGCCTTAAAACATACCAGCCTTAGCGTTCAGTCTTTCGTCCCCTGTTACTGATGATGGTGACCTAGGACTCTAAACTTGAAATGCAAAGTCCATTTAGTTAGTTCTTTAGAAGACAAGTGTACGCTTCTACTACACATGCATATACGCTGTTCTTATGTTTCACATTTCAGTTTTAACGCGGTATGGAATGCTCACGCTTATTCTACTCTCTGCTTTCAGTCATTGAAAAGTTTGTATTATATTTAGCTCCTTGCGTTTCTCTCTGAGTTTGTGACTTCTGCAGAAAGATTCATGCGTGCAAAAGAATCTGTACTACCCCGTGTCCCGTCGTATTCTGATGTCTGGTTTTGAGTCACCTAAAATAGTTGATGGTCGCACATTTTGTTTCGGACTTATTTTCTCCGATTCTCAAGCTTTCTCTAGGATGTTACCACTCGGCATTGTGGTCATTGCAGTTCGCCTCATTGTACACATACATATTCGGTTCATTGAGAAGAACATATGTTACTTGTCCCAAATGACTGTTATGTAAATATATGGTTCAAATCATGTGTAACTTGTTGTATAGCTGCAGAAATTTGTTTTCTCCTGTAGGTTTGTTTTCATATCTTGGTTGCTCAATTCTTAAACTTTGCCTTTTCAGATGGATAAAGCATCCCTACTTGGTGATGCTATCGCGCACATTCAAGAACTCCATTCCAAGGTTCAAGAGATGGAGTTTCAGATCAAAGGACTCGAGGCACAAGCGAAACTATTAATGGAGAAGTCCGCTGACCCGGAAAGTTCGAGGCAGTGTTTTAACAATGGCTCCAGGGAGTATTTACATCCATCAACAGTTCTTACTGGAACCTCAGCTTCTTCTGCATCAAGAATATCTATGGATGTTAAGCCAACCATCGCCGTGCATACGTTGGGGCACGAGGCTATGATTCGTCTACATTGTATGAAAGAGTCGTACGCGCTAGCGAACTTGATGTTTACCTTGGAAGAACTGAAGTTGGAGGTTCAGCATGCTAATCTCTCAATTCTTGAAGACTCGATGGTCCACATTATCCTTGTAAAAGTAAGTTTTGTTTACCTGAGGTCCGTAAAGTTTTTTGTTTGCTGCTTCTTTTATCTGAAAGGTAGAAAAAATGTTATATCGAGTAGTTGGGAAGATGGATTAGACTTTACGCGTTCTGGTATTCACTCTTCTGTCAATTGGCCTGTGGTCTTGAGCCGCATTTATGTGAACGTTTAAGTTCCTGAAACCTGATCAGAAACTGGACCTCGTTCGATTTTTCTTCAGCAGGATGACAAATTTTGAAGACGATTGCGATACTTTCGACGCTCTTTAGATTACTACTAGCTAGTTGTATCAGCGGTTGAGTGTCTAAAGTTGCGCATTGGCTTCAAACCGACCGTTGCTGACTCTAACGTCTTTCTTGGTTTTGTGATATTGGCTTTATATGTTGACGATTACGATTCTTGCCACCACCAGTTGGCCATTTCCTACTTTGGATATATGTGACCTCCATCGCTGCATACGTGTTCACAATGCTATATTCAGCTTTGTTCAGTGTATTATGTACGACGGTAGTTTGAACTTTTGAAATGGTTAACTGCCAGCCTGTATCAGAATTGTAACTGCAAAATTCTTCTATTTTTCTTGATTTTACAAGAAAAATACATCACCAGACTAAGTTAGAACTACTCTTCCTCTCTTCTCTTATTACGCGGATGAAGCCGATCGGGTTGACCTTTGTGCTGGGCTTTGGAGAGCTGTGCTGGAGTTTGTATATCCTCTTTGATAAAGAGTTCACATGCTTTGCTTAACATGCATGACTTCTGAATGCAACTAGAATTGCTATTGAGAATTTTCCTTGTTAATTTTGTGAATATGTCTCTCACCCATTCGGAGCCAGATAAACTCCAGGAAAGTTGCTCGTGCGATCTGACTGTTGATACCGTCATTTAGGATGCGTCCATTTCCTGCAGTTGTTTGCTTGATTGTTTCTTTCAAATGTAGAGAACAATCTGGGGGTGTGTCTACTGCACGCTACTATGGCTAAGCAACTCCTTGTTAAGGAAGAAATCTCTTCCTCTAAGATGATTCTAAGATGATTTCTCTTCTTCTTCCATTAACCATATTCCAAAACTAGGCTGCTACTAACTGAATCGTGATAACCACCCTTAACATAATTTGAAGATGAGCTCAAGGGGGCTGAAGAAATCTTGGGGATAGATAGAAAGAGTGGGCGCTCTGTTCTGTTCTCAGCTGAATATAGTCTTTAGACTTCTATCTAGCGCTACTAGAGCAGACCTCATTAAAAGTGGCATTTGCCACTTTTGCCACCTTTTAGTTGATTGTGGCACCCAAAATTTCTTAAAAGTGGCATTTGTTGCATTTGTATTGAAAAACTTATGTGACAATGTTGAAACCAGACAGATTGAGCTTATTTTTGGAAAACGTCAGGCAGGGTTGTTTCTCTGTTGTGGCTAAGTCAGGTTTCGCCCTCATGTTATGTTCAAGGGACCCCAAAACCATCGAAAGCTAACGAGAACTTAGAAGAGTCCGAACACGAAGCTTGATTATTCACCTTAAGGATACTCCAAGCAGAGAGAGCTAGTACTTTGAGAAGAAATGAGTTCAAGGGTCTTGATCCTAAAAATGAGGATATTAAACTAAATAGTGCCAACTTCCAAAATCCAAGAGACGTGAATTGTATTACTCCTCAAAACCGCAGCTGAAGATGAGTAACATCACCTGTCTTCAATCCTAGGATTAGAAAGAAACTTGTTTTCATGACCAGAATATTCTGGCATTAGAGTTTTAGAAAACCTTCGCGGTGTATGTAATACACTTTTCTTCCGAAAATACATCCATCATGTGATCATGCGTTATTTCGAGATTTGTCCACAATCGGCTAAAAAACACACATACAGGGATTCTCTTTCCAGTTACTTACTGACGGCAATGAGGTCTATTCCTTGCTTGGTTGGGATAATTACATTATTCCGTTGTCAACGGCGCACTTCGTAAATTTTAGCAGTGCTTGCGAACTGTAAAAAATTTACGTCGTAAAGCTCAATTGCAACCTAAGAGTAACCATAGAAAAAAGCTTAATTGTGGCATCGGCCCAATTTTAATTGTGGCAAAGGTGGCATTTTTTATTAGAATGCGACTTTTAATGAGGTCTGTACTAGAGTCCAAGGAAGCACATCCTTTTCTCGTTACCTTCTTGTTACTCGACGATATGTTCTTCCGTTAAATTTTGCCAATCAGTTGCACCGCTGTAGATTCAAACCACAATGCTTGTGCTGCTTATATGAAGGTACATACATATGTGATGGGTTTTGTTATAAATTTGCTTTGGCTTTTTTATGCTTCTTTGCGCTCTGCCTACAAGCTGCTCTTACTACTAACCGTGTTCGCCCTGTGCAGATATCATTAGCTTCATCTTCGGCGTGTGGCATTCAAATTTCATCCTTGCTTCCGTCGGGTAGTATTGAGTACTTCTACTCGGTCTCTCTCTGTATGACAGAACGTGGTTATACTTAAACAGCTCAGTAACAGACACATCCTGGTTTTGCTTCTTCGTTTTCTCAATACTGATAGTTGTATATCTTAGTTCTAGATACATATCTAATAGAAGTAATTGCTGGTTTCATGCTCCATACACCACGTTTACCTCATGCTTTTCGTACTAATGAACGGACCATTCTATAAATTGTTCCTTTCTTACGGTTGTTTATGCAGTTCAGTTATTGTTTTGACCACAATATGTTCAGATTCTTTTTCTTCCCTACATCTCATACTCAGACTCTGCCTTCTCCAATTAGTAAGGTCCTGGTTGTATATATACCTCTTCGGTGTTCAGCTGAGTTAGATTCTACTCGAAATTGAGCAGCCTATGCTCAAACAGCTATTTCATCCTCTTTTCGACCTTTCCTATCTTTTATGTCGTGAGACGATTCCTCTTCACCTTCATGTTTGCGGGTCATCGGAGACATGGGGACTCCACTTGGACTAAAACCCTACGCGGTGACGTCCCATAGAAATCTAAGGTCTCATTCTTGCTTAGGGACAAGAGGGCCTCAAGGGGGCTTGAGGTCTCGTAGAGAGCCGCAGCGGGTTAGTGCACTTTTTTGTTGATTATAGTCCCTGGATTGCCAATCAACATTGATAGGATTTATGCTACCACTTCTTGCCCTCTCTCGGTTTCCTTTGAGTAGTTTTTTTTCAACGCTTTCGTTTAATATCGCTTCATTCATTTTCTGCACGATTCATGAAATGGTCATTGACTTGGGCTCAGTGGAATCTTTTCGCTTCCACTTGACTTCGGTTATCTTTTGTTAGTGACCTGGAGTGGATGCTTTAGGGTTACAATTTTCCTTTTGCATCCGTTCTAATCCTCGTGAGAAATGCCATTTGTATCACGTTTTCAATGTGCTGCCACCCCTGTGTTCTAGGCCACACCACTCAAAGCCTAAAGACCGTGAGTACGTCTACTTGATATTTATTTAAATGGGACTGGACTAACGAACTATTCTACCCTCCTTTCATGTCTATATTTACTCAAGTTTTTACTGTCTTGCAATAGAAATTGCTCTCGGTGTTTCTTTTGGCTACCTCTGCATCAGTCAACTGCCTCGTAGTTTACGGCTACTTGAGTGATTTTTTCTGCAGAAGTTTGCTGCTGACTTTTATTGCAGACTTCATAGTACCTTGTTTTGTTGCCTCTGGGTTCCTCTTGATCAATTGTTTAGTATCCACTAATTTACTCTGTGGAGAGAGCACGTATGTTGCTTAAAACTATGTAGTGGAGAGACGTCGTTTGCATTATAAGGGATGAAAGTTTGCTACCGCTCAAATTTGGCGCAGCATTTTACATGGTGATGTGGTGGTTTCTGGTTGTTATCCTATTTTAAATGAATGTTATCTTGCACTAGCCATACTATTCCCACTGCCTCTCGTCCTGTTTCAGTTTCTTCACCGTTTTGATCGGTAGTTGTTTTCTGGCTGCCTTTAGCTTGAATTGTACTGCTTCCTTTCGTGTGCTGTCTCTTTGTTGTATTCGAATCATCACCCTCCCCGGAAAAGTCTTTCGGGCTTCTCTCTTTCTTTTTCTGTGTTTCAGTTGCGTCTACCGGGTCCCCATCTACCTGAAACTTGGACCGTGAAATCTTTCTTGTGAACACGGTTTTTTTCTCAAAGGAAGTGACTAGATCTTGGAGGTAGCGTGAACGAGTCGATGCACGTATACTTACTACGATGTTTAACCTGACCTGCACCATGTAGTCAATAGGAACGATTTTTTAATTTTAACCTCAGTTTTCTCTTTGGACGCGTCACATAGTTCCACTTTCACAGGGTCCATTTCTACCCCACTTCATTCTTTTTCTCTCTAGTATCAGTGGTTTGAGCAAAAACAGGATGAGCGTTTTGGTATCTCTGGATCTCTGTCCAATTGGTCTCATACGGTCTTCTGTGCTTTTTGGAGATCAACACAATGTTACCTTTCCATGCACAGGCTCTGATGTTGAACAATGATTCTGAAGATTGAAGCACTTCCAGCAATTTTTCATTATTTTCTGCATAGATAAATCCCTCTAGCTTTATGTTTACATCGCCGCTTCTTCTATCTCCAACCAGCCCGTCAGTTAGCTTCACGAACCAACTTCTCACGAATTTCTGACAAGAAATCAAATATCACGCTGAGCATTCTACCAGCACTTATTTGCTGCTGAGAAAACTCAGGTATTCCTACATACCATTCTTCATTATTGCTTGGAAAATACTCAGGATATCACCCAAATCACGCGTTTGTAGTATAAATCAATGCAATACTCTTGCGCAGGTTTCCTCATGGTCAGGATTAGCTCACATGAAGCTATTACGAAGAGCACATGAACTTTGGGCCTCGGTTCTGCACTAAGGGGGTCAACACATACTTTTCTCTTGGATGTTAGTTAATTATGCTAGGGTTTGCAAAGCTTCCACATGCAAGTTTTTACATGTTTAAGTCTAGCCTTCTATTGCATACTAGTTATGGGCCTCCTTTCTGCATCGACGGGATCTACAGACATTCTCCTCATGGATGAGTCTGCTGGGCCTTGCAATCATTAGCTTCAGCAATCATACTAATCGCTTGTCCTTCATGTGTGTTATTCAGTCTCTCTTTCTTTTGTGATGGAGGAGTGTCTCTTCACTATTACGCATATCACCATCATCTCTTTTTCCCTAAAAGATTAGTATCTGTGTTTCATGTAATATGTTTACCTATCTAACCATTCTATTTTCTGAAGTTCTGCTATGTTGACAACAGCTTGAAAATCATCAAGAGTCTCATCTTGGTACTTCCACAAGTGCACAAAGTGTATTAAAAAAAATCCTCAATTGAAGCAAATTACCACTGTGCACCTAGTAGACCTTGTAGGTTTTGGTAGGGCCAACATTTACTCACAAACATAACTTTTTGCAGTACCATCATGTGTTGCTTGTTGACAGTGCAAAGAATTTCCTTTTGTTTCAAGAATGTGAGATTCAACACCATAATTACTGTTTTATTGCTTACACACCTCTACAACCCTTCATGTTACTTAATTGGTGGCCGTCATAGCCCACAGGCGAGTTGCAGGCTGATTCAAGAACCTCTCTCCTCTCCTCACAACTGTCAATTAGATGTAGTCAATGACATCGCCTTAGGCTTCCTTTGCCAGGGCTTTTTACTCTTTCTTCTTGCCATCGTTCCTCTGCTCTACAAATTGTCCTTCTCAAACTTGGAGGAATTCAAGTCACCTTTCTTCTTCTTGTTTTTCCACTTTGGACATTGAAAACCCAGTTGCCCTCGATTATCACTTGTGTAGCAATTTAAAGATTCTTTGCCCTTCTTTGACGCACTGCCTCTAAATTTGCAGCCATAGCTGCTTCCTTGTCTTCTATTTCTCAAACCTTTTTGTAAAAGGGACCATATTGTTATAAGTCATATCCCAAGTCATTTCTTGTTCAGGAAGAGCCTCAAATGAGGGCAAAAGAGACCTAAACTTGTCAGATGAGCAAATGTGTTTGAACTGAGGATGAAGTCTACCTGACACACGATTCCTAGAAAGTTGCACTTGCCATATGTGCAATCATAGTGTAAGTATCTGTGTTAAATGTTCTTGAAAGTATTCCTTGAAAGTAAGCATCTGTGTTAAATTTTAGTCTAGTCAGTTTAGTGTGTCCCAAGCATATATGATATTCACCATGTCCTTGTCGACTTGATGCATAATTTTCTTCCAACATTGCAGCACATGGTCTTGTTCACCATGTGCTGCAATGTGCATATCTCATTTTCAAAACTCTCTTCAATGTCGTCAGGTACTTGATAAAAATATATAGAGTTTTAGAACCTACTCAACATAAATCCACTATATAGCGCGTTAAGCTACGTCAAGCTCACAAGTCCACTGTTGGGCCATAACCTTTTGATATTTTGTATTGATTATGACTTCTTTCAAATGTATCACGAGCTGTGCAAGATGCTCCTTTGGAATCTCCTGATTAGCTTCTAATCTCGAAAGTCAGGTAAATGATAAACGATGAAAGCCCCATTTTAAACAACATCAGTTTATCACCTTTCCACATGTAATAAGGTCAGGATTTCTTAAAAGTCTAAATAAGGAAATCTTGAAAGCTTAAGTGTATCCTTTTTTTTTGAATAGATAATTCGAGCCAAAATCTAGTTCATGCTCTATCTAATCTCATCTTAGAACTATGACACCAATTATGTTTCTCATATCATATCGTTGCTTCTGTCCTCGGTCGGAGAAATTTCATTCTATGCAGCTCAGTTTCTGTTTAGGATCAATACGTCAGGTTGCAAATGCACCACGGGAGGCTTGTTTAGAAGCCTGACCTTTAAGCCGCACCTTAGTGCTTCCAGTGGGGTGACACTCTCTCCGATCTCTCGGTTCTTGCTGAATGGCTGAGATATCATTGCTCGTTCTGAGTGGACGGTCGTTTCCTGTGGAGTGACACTCCCTCTGTTCTCTTCCTTTTTGCTTTCGGGCAGTCCTTTCTTGCAGATAGGTAGGTAGTGCTGGACATTATCTGACATAGCTTTGGGCAGCCAACAAAATTACGTACGAATGTTGGGATTCAAGTTATTCTCAGCCCCCTCGCGGTCTACAGCCGGAACTAATGCACCTCGCGAGGTATCCGCTGATGTAGCAGCCTAGTTTATGGAACAATATATTGACGCTTCCCATTCAAATGTCTTTAATGGTCACGGAAGGTCTTTCTTGCGACGTACTGGGTCTTCCATACTGCTCAGTAATATTCCCAGCTGTCATATCGACAGCTGGCCTGTTTGCGGTAGCTTACAAATTGCACCGTTGTTTGCAGATTCGTATTAATCTCTTAATACTCCGTTGCCATTTTGGTTCACTCGCCATATTTGTTGTGTATTTAACTACACACAAAAGACAACAATACAAGTACTTGCAGTTTGTAGCTTACCATCTTGATTTTTCGCTGTTGCTGATACACGCCGTGATTTTGTGATCGCAGTAGGTTTTGAAGACTTGTATTTGCCATCACTAGCTGTTATTTATCTTTACAGTCATTTATTTTATGAGAAGTGATATTTAGAAAAGACAGATATTCTCCATTCTCATCATTGAGGCCAGCTCGACTTTCTGCTAGAGTAGTAACTTACATTCAGTTCACAGTCATCCAGCATTGAAAATTCGGTACCGAGAGGGAACCACTGGTAAGATGATTATCTCACCGAATTGCCTTGCTAACTGTTCAGACTAATTGTCTGAACAATTGTCTTCTACCTTTCACAAATAGAAACCCTTAAACCGTGGTGACCAATGCCACCAAGGTAACTCGAAGCCTAAAGTTAATCTATTATTTGTACTGGAATTGAACTACTTTTTTTATAACATTCTATGTAGATATTGATAGAGCCTTTGTATGCAAAAGTGCAAGAAGATCTCGAATAGCTCCATTGTGCTCTACATGCATCTGTTGATGCTGTGGATGTTATTAAGGTAATTATTTGGAAATCTCATATTTAGAACTAACAAAAAATATTATAGGCTGAATGCTGATTATGAATTGTAGCCTTGAAACTTGGGATTGAGATAAAGACCTGCTCCGTAATAAGGCGAAAGATGGATCATTGTATCTTTTTCATATAAATCATCCCAATTCAATGCGCCTCTTCGGCTTAGCTGGTGGAATTACTATCACTTTAGATAACTGTCTAAAATACATTGTTGCTATCATTAATGAGGCCATTGAACCAAATGAAGTACTTGGCGTGGAGAAAGTGTTGCTTGTTGTTGCTCGCGGAGTCTTTCAAATACTCGCTTGGAAACTACTTGATGAACATGCATGTCATATTCTACAGCTGAAGCTAGCATGATGCAAATGGATTAAAGGCTGACAATCGGCAGAAATGTCTCAAAATTTTTCACACTCTTGATTCAAGTTCAAAACTACTCGTAAGAGCTCTAAAGGTAATGTCCTGGTACAACTGATTGTTATGTTAAAGATTTGCGCCAGTATCGTCTATATGAGGGTATCGCACCTCTCAGTAATCTCCTCAACCCCTTATATTCTTGTTGTCATCATTTTTGTTCCTCCACCTCACCGTCCAACTAGAGCGAGAGGTCTCATCTTCAGAGTCTGATAGGTACTGATGGAGTACAACAGTATTTTGGGAAGGAGCAAAGTCGTCACTACGTTGGTTATTTTTCATGTAATTCCAGTTGGCACATTAGCTCGAGTTATACAGAAACTCGTAATGCATCTGCTTCTTTTCTAGCTACTTCGATTATCATAATATGCCTCGATTAAAGCCATGTTGCTACGTACAGCGTTTTATCCTTGCTGTGTTCAAACTTGCGTGTTTGCGACTGCGGACATGTGAATGGTCGCTTTTACATCAAGGATTTCCACTTGTGCGTGAATCGTTTCTCTCATAGGCCTCTGCGGTGTTACGTCGTGTCATAAGTGCGGAATCAATTTTCGGAGGCTCCTTAGTCTGCTTAGACTTCTCTTTCTACATCGTTTCGCCGAAATCATTGTTCTAATTTCGTTGGCGTTGCAGACCATCCTTTACCTCTCATGTTATACCACTTAGTTCTGCTAAACTTAGCACGTCTGGACGTGAGACCCCCATAACTACCTTGGGTCGAACAATTTATTACGCAGAAAAGTGTTTTAATATCTTATGTGAAATGTGCAACTTTTTCTATGTATGTCCTTTTCATTTCCCTGCCAGCGCACTTCGCAGCTCGAACATTTTGAATATTTCAAAATCTCGAAGCTGTGGACGTGGATCTTTCTAAGTGTAGGTACTACTTACGAGGTGCTCAGTTGCTTCAAACGTCCATACCGTTAGAGAACCATTGCTTCTTGATTTTAAGTGGTGATGTCTTACATGCGAGCCAGTGTTTTGTTTTTGACAAGCACGTGTTTACGTGCAGATGAAGAATGACATATTACCTACTGAGGGGCAGCTGATAAGTGCGATTGAGAAGTCCTACAGCCTTACCAATTTTTCTTCCGTGAGAACACATCAAGACCCATATCTTGCAGAAGGAAAGGCTGAAAACAACAAGTGTGACATCCATTGAAGATTACTGTTTCGCAATAATGAAGTGGCCGGTGCTATGTCGGCCATGTAGTATTATATACACTACGAAATTATGTATAGATGTTGTACAATCTCAACCGGTTCCTTATAATTGAAACACGCAGGAAGTTAAGCCACGAATTCTGATGAATCATTTTTGTTCCAGACTATTTTGTTTGTCACGGAGTGCTCGCTGAGTTACGCATTTCTTTCGAGGTCACAAGATTTATCATGAGTACTCAACAAATCATTACTCGTGTAGAGCAGAGCAACGTCCAAATGAAAGTAGTGTGCTCTAAACCTGAAAAAGAGAGGAAAAGATTGCGTCTGAAACCTTGTTCTTTAGAGTAGCAATGCAAGTGTGCCTGATCAGGGAGAGGTATCTTTGTTACGACTTTTGCGGCCAAACAGTAAATGAAAACCTCACACGCACTCGCCCCGAACTTATGAGTGTAGCTAGGCCAATGGTGCACGGTAAGGAGTGACGTGCACTCAGCATTTTGAACTTGAATTTTGGGTGTCAGATAGATTATATACGTTGTTGGTGAATGTGATTCTTCTTTCTTGTTTTGTTTCAAGTGGAGATGTACTGGTACATTGGTCTCATGTTCAAACCATGTTCAATGTCATTCTGAAATCACCACTGAAATAGACCCCAAACCTAAACTATTAGTAATGTAGCACTGAAGTGGTCCGCATGATTTGAAACGATTTCGGAAAGATGGAAGGACTAATCAGGCACAACATGGTTAGTTCATTCGCCATCCTTAAGCATGCTTCACTGAAGTGACTTCAGTCCTCTCCAAGGGAAATCGCGCATGATGTTCTAGTTTTTGGATCAAGGTTTGTATTCGTATTAATTTTTTTGCCTACTAGCTTTTCAAATATTGATACAAATATTAATGGAGTATGAGACGCAGTCAGATCATGATTTTCCCTCGCAGTGGAGGTAGTTCAACCTTGTAAATCAAGCTAATGGTTTTAAAGTCTCGCAGTGGAGGTGGTTCAACCTTGTAAATCAAACTAATGGTTTTAAAGTCTTGTATAGAATTAGAAGAATGATGTACACAATCACTCAATGTATCATTCATCGACATTTTAAGATATTAAAAATCGTCACTTTTTCATATATAAAAAAAATTATATACATATAAAGAATGACTTTAAAGTCTTGTATAGAATTAGAAGAATGATGTGCACAATCACTCAATGTATCATTTAATTCATCAACATTTTAAAATATTAAAAATCGTCACTTTTTCATATATAAAGAATTATATATACATTAATTTTCCAAATTTGTTTGAGAAATTTTTCACTAACTCTCTTTATATATTATTGGAAAATTTATCATTATAACAAATAGGGTATTATCTAACTTATTTTTACAAAGATAAATTATTGTAATGTTGATTAGTTATCAATATGAGTCAACATGTCATTGGTTTATTAAATCTTCTAGATGTTTACTAATCGTTAGATTAAGGTGGCGACATGCTATTTGTGACTTTCCAATTTTTAGAAACTACACTTGCCACTAAGTCAACATTAGATTTAGTCTAACGAATAGATTATTACTAATTAGTCAAAGCAATCAAAACTAAATATGAAATTAAAAGTCTTTTCTCTTGGAATTTAGATCTTTATACAAGACAAAATAAAAATGCTCATTTAAATCTTTTAGAACATCTTTAGTTATTCCGCCAAGTATAAACTTTAGAGCTAAACATAGTTATAATTTAATAAATTTAGTTATAACTAGCTAGACTTAGTCATAACTATCCTAACCATGATTAACTCCTCGGCTATTTCTCTTAAACGTAAAAGAGAAGTGTCACTCAAGCCAAGTATAAACAAAGGAGACACTTCTATGACGTGGTTCACCCTCGGGAGCTATGTACACGGTTGAAGCGCACGAGAAGATTTATTGACAACTGAATATTGAATACTGAAAATGCTCTGATCGAGTAGAAGCCTTGGAGGTATATTTATACCCAAAGCCAACAACACACCTTGCTATAAATAGCTATAACATGAGGTTACTCGTTAACCGGAGTCAACCTCAACAACTTTTAGTTTTATTTCACACATACAACATGCGGTTTTACGGAAAAAAGGTTTTCCTTAGCCACTAGCTTTTGCTGAAGTTTTGCACACTTCAAGTTGCTCTTCCCGCTCCTGCAAGGTAGCTGACATGGTCGCGCACTCAGAAGTTAAGCTCCCAACTCTTTCTGCTACTTTTGCCTTACTTAGTGTACTACTACGCACTAACTCTACATAAGATCTGCTAACTTTGGCTCCGCAAACTTTGCCATCTTTCTATCTAAATACTTGAGTAAGGTATCTATCCTATCACTCAAAAGATCAGCTACACTAAGCTCTGCCGTCTTCGGCTCCTCGGTTGAAGATCCTTTGCCGCAGTCAAAATCAACTATACCTGAAGACAATTGACACGAAGGCATCATTGGTGGCTTCACGATAGTTCTTTTCATTTTTGCCACCACTCTCTCAAGAAGTTCTACAACCGAATTTGATTCCACCGTCGGCTCTTCCAACTGTGCAGACACATCCGAAGTTTCCTTACCCGAAGGCCAAAGATCTTCAGCCGAAGGCGTTAATGTTTGTTCCGAAGGCCAAAGACATTGACCCAAAGTCTCAGTCTCAGTCTCATCTTCACGTTCTTTGCCCTTCTCCAACGGGCCATTCATGGGTTCGTCCAAAGGTCGCCACTCCGAAGGGCGAAGGTCCTTCCTCGAAGGCCATTCGTCTTCCGTTCTTGCTTGATGTGCTTCCACATCAGCCCATTTCGCCAAAGTAACTTGTTGCTGCGAAGTTGCTTCGCTACATTATGTATTGTCATAATCCTCTCTCCGTCGGCGTCGTGCTTTCATCTTACTACGAGAATGCGTACTTGTTCTCCTCATCCACATAGGAATTGGTCTCTTGGCCCGCAATCCTTCACGTCGATTCACTACCTCCGAAGTCGAAGACATCTGCAATTTCTGTCGCTTCTTCGCTGGTCGTTCCTCGATATCTTCTTTCCACATATCAACTTTGGCTGAAGGCGGTGCAGTTTCAAAGTTGTTCTCCTCACTGGCAACTTGATTACCTCATAGCACTCTTTTGTCATCGGATCCCTCAATCTCTCTTTCGAGAGAGAATTTCCGCTGTTCTGCCTAAGTGAGCAATCCCACACCTCAATAGAAGTTAATGAAGAACGGTATGAAGTAATTCATCGATACTCCGAACATGTCCTTGACGTTCATGTGATTAGTACTCCAGAAAATGCGAGCCCAATGTATTGGCTTCCCCGTCACTGCGCGTACCACGAACCCGACTTGCCATGTTGCCATGTACGTTGTTCTTGACGGTCACAGAATTTGCATGACTGCCACCGCCACATTGAGTCTCATTCGATTGTGCTACTACATCGTCCGCCATCCGTTCTTGGACGAGAAAGATGTCTTGAATAACTTCGCAAATGTCTTCTCCTCGGCTTGGATCACCTCCACGCTCTGGCTGTTGTAGGTGTAATCGACTTCCTCAAATGCACACGGCCTCAAGATTTCAGACCAGTGCTCAATTTTCCAACTCTCAAAATTGCCGCAAAGTCCATCGGCATTTGGCGCGCGTCCCTCCTATCATTCCTTCACAATTGCTGTAAAAATTCAATTCTAACTCCATAGCAAGAAATTGAGCTTGGCTATTATCAATTCTTTGCGATACGCTCTCTATCCAAACTCCGGTACTTTCAACGCCGACAAACAAAGTTTTAAAGCTCGCTTCATTGCTACGCTCTCAAATCCTCACTCGCGATACTCATTGAAGTCCCAATTTGCAAATGCATTCTTGCAAAATGTCGGCGCAGAACTCCCATTTCTACTAATGTACTTTGACGCCCTAACCACATCGTGAATTCATGCGAATTGGTGGTACAAGTGCTGAAGTTTTACTTCCGGTTGGCGCCGCCTTTCACTACACCGAAGACCCTTCTGCTGTAACGCCGAAGTCTGAAGGCCGAAGGCCCTTCTTCGCCTGCGCCTTACCATGTCCTCTACTTCTTACACTTGTAACTTGGGCTTCCCTCATCCGTTTCCGGCAATCTTGGGCTCGTTGAAACAAACCCGCTAGGATCTATCTATTGAAATTCTGCCTAAGACAAGTTACTACTTATTGAGAAATTTATGAATCATCTACTCTAGTGTATCATAACTCATCTTATTCACTTTATTGCCCATAAGTAAAAACACTAACGTCAACAGATAGGTAGCTAATATGGATTCTATTATTTCTAACTTGGCATCTACTACCAAATCCACTTTTTAATCTACTTTGTAGTATTTTTATTCTAAAATTTTGAAATTTCTAGTCATCTACTTCTCAAACTTTACTTTTCAAAATAAAATAAAAATAACATAACTACAAGAGCTCTAAACATATTATCGTGGAAGTTTTAACATGTAACAAGACTAAATACATTTAGTAGGAGTTGAGTTTTATGAAATCCAAATTTATCTCTAAAATTTATTTTCCACTCGCCAACAAGGTTCTTTTTTTGTCTATGATTTGATTTTCAAGGTTAAGTTGTAATTCAGTTTCTAGCTAGACTAGTTGGATTATATAGATTAGATGGTGTTTAAAGATTCTAAATTATAGAAACTTGCGTTAGGCCAAATATGCAAGTCCTATATATACTTTATACCCTTTATTTAGGATTTAGAATTTAAATTATAATGCTTTTTCAAAGTTTCAAACACAAATTTTCTTTTTATAACATTCATATCACTTCCAAAGACTATTAGCTCAGTGACTGAAAATAATAGAATTTTATAAGATTTCTATTATTTTCAGTCACAGTGTTAAAGTTGTCATTTGCAGTATTGCATTAGATGGTGTCTCTGTGCCCACTGCATGTGATGTAGATGTCTTTGTCCTCATTACAAGATCACTAGGTGGCGTAGGATTTAAAGATGAAGTCTTGCCCACATTTGACAAAAAAAATGACTAGGAAAGTCTAACATGTTTTCCACTCTCAACTTCATAGTCACAACACGCGGCTCAGAAGCACAAGTGACATCTCTTGTCATTGCAATCAATGCCTTTACCTGTGCCGCACTTGCCTAATGGGAGAAATGTTTTCTTTCATGAGAGGTAGAAGCTTCTACTCTG